GGGGGTGGGGACGGGGGTGCCGGCCCCCCGGGGCGCAGGCAGTCTCCCCGGGCGACCCCGCTCCTCTCCCACGGCTGTGGGCCGGGAGCACGTCCGCGAGGCCTCGACGCCCCGATCTGGCTAAATAAGTGATGTGTGTTTGCAAAGAGAAAAGCGTTTATTCCTCGAATTTCCTCTACTTTTCCAACTTTTCCTGCGGGCCTCTCCTCGCCGGCTCCCCGGGGGGCGCGGGCTCCGGAGCTGTTTACCCACCCCGCCGCCACCGCCCGCCCGGGTTCCTTCCAGCTCCCAGAACCTGTCTCTATAATTAAACTTTTTAATTGTCGGGTTGCAACGTCACTTAGGGGACTTTCCAAGGGTGAGGAGCCGAGGGGAGGAAGCGAGCTCCTTAACCCTTCGGTGACCTAGCGTCCGGGCCGCGGATGGCGTGCGGTGTGGTGTGGAGGTGCGGGCCGGGGCCCCTCGGTGCGCCCCCCGAGCGTGCCCGCAGGTGGGTGGCCGGAGGAACTAGCCCGGGCCGGGGCCGGTGGCCAGGCAGAGCAGTGCGCGGCCCTCCGCCGTGCAGGCCGTGGCGTCACCACCCCCTCCCGGACACCTCCCCCGGGGCGGCCACTCCCCCAGCGGCCCAGGCGCTGCGCACCGCCAGGCCTGACTTCCGGGCGCTCCCTATCCGCGGCCCGGGTGGGTTAAGACCAGGTACTTTGATGGGGGGTGGGGCTGCTAGGTTCGTGAAAGCCAGGAGTGAAAGTCCTCGAGCGGAAGGAGACCCGGCGGTGCGTTCTGCGGCCAATCTGGAGCCTGGGCGCACGTCGGGGCTGGCAAGAAGGTGGAGCTCCCGGCCCAGGACACTCGACCCCCCCTTCCCGATGGCCGGCTGGTGGCCTGCACCCCTCCAAGCACCACCTTCCCTGGGCTTTGGGAGGTTGCACTTCCTTCTGACCGTTTACCAAAAAAAAAAAAAAAAAAAAAAGCTCTCAAATTCTGAGCCTTCCCTTCCCCCAGCCTGAGAGCCTGGCACCGCTTCAAGGTCCTGGGGTGAGAGGCAAAAGGCGATCTGTCCGCGGGAGGCCCTGCAGTCACCTGGTTTGGAGGTACCTGGAGTGTTTTGCGGACTGCAGATCAGGACTTGGACCCCCGCCCAGGAAATCAGACGGTCTGATGATGAGACTAGGAATCTACGCGGTCGGTAAATTTCCTGCAGATAATTCAGACACTGGTGTTTGGGAAATCAGTGGTCGGTCCAAGACGTCCGAGTTCAGAGGGCCTTGGTTCAAATGTCTGCCATTTTCTAGCTGAGTTTTTTTTTTTTTTTTAAGACAGAAGTCTTGCTAAGTTACCTATGCTGGCCTCTACCTGTGTGCTCAAGTGAGCCTGGAAAAGAGCAGGGGAGGGGTGGGGGAATGGGGTCAGGATGAAGCATGTGGAGCTGTTGCCTAACGGGAAAATACTTATTGTTACAAGTATTTCTTTAAAGACTGCTTGGGCCCAGTGGATAGCAGAAGCAAAATAGTCCTAAATACCTCAAAATTCCTAAAGCCCTTCAGAGCACTTCAGGGTGTTACTCAGCTGCCATATTCCTCTCCCCTGAAGCAGGGGGCCTCAGGAGAAGGCTGTGCAGACACCAGCTTTGTGTCTGGAATCTTTGGGGGAAGCGCAGAGGAACTGGCCACTGGGAAACCCAACCCCAGCTCCAGCAAGGTGACATTTCAAGGCTCCCTGGGCCTTGAAATAGGATCTTTAAATGCCCATTCTTAGGTCCATTGCTTTAACATTTTCCCTGTGGGGATGTTCCAGAGTTTGATTAAATTCTGCCATAGCCCACAGTTGCCCTCTCTGCAAGCTACTAAACCTGCCTAGAGCAAATCTCCAGTCCAGCATAATCTGGCTCTTGTGTGGACCTTGACATTTCCCTATCACCACTCCCCAACCTCAATCCCAAAACACTGCTCTAGTCAGTTGTAGAGGAAGATGAGCCATCTTCCTCATTTTACCCAGGGACTGCACATACACATCCTGTCTAAAATCTTACTTTTGGTCCAAGAAAATTCTTTAGAACCTAGTTGAAACATCTCTTCCTATGGTTTACTTTTTTTTTTTTTGTCGGTCATGGGGCTTGAACTCTGGGCCTGAACACTATCCCTCAGCTCTTCAGCTCAAAGCTAGTGCTCTACCACTTGAGCCACAGCTCCACTTCTGACCCTTTGTCGGTCCATTGGAGATAAAAGTCTCAGGGACCTTCTTGCCTTGACTTGCTTCAAACAATGAACCTCAGATCTCAGTCTCCTGAGTAGCTAGGATTACAGATAAGTCTACCAGCACCCTACTGT